GTCCCCCACTTGGTGGGGGGCTGCATCACGGACCTCCAGCCTTAGAATGTTCAAGGGCCTCTGAAACTGCATTTTTAACAACCACTCAGGTGATTCTGAGCTGCATAGAGAGCTCCTATGAGCTCTTCTGTGAGAGAGCTCCACAGTCATGGAGATGTGGGAAGTATGGGTGCTGGCAAGGCTGAAGCTGCTGAGGGAGCCTCATGGCCGCCTTGAACTCAGGACTGGATTGCTCCAGACTGGTTAGCAGAGGGAGAAGACAAGGGGAGCTCAGGCTGCAGAGGGCAGTGCTGTTATTCGAAGAGCCAAAGGGAATCCCTTCCACCTTGTTAGGGGCAGAAAGGGGTGCGAGACATGGGAAAAGGCAGGGTAGACAGATGCTGCATAGGCAACAGCAGCATTTCGGCTCCACCCCTGCATGGGAGCTGTGCCCACTGGTTGCTGCTCTGGTGCAGAGAAAAGGCCAGAAGTTTTCAGAATGATGCCCTGGGCTTTGGAGGAACACGGAGTTCCTGCTTCGGTTGTCTGAGAACTTCCTCTGAGTCTTTTACCAGTTGCTCAATCCCTGAGTGTCTCCTCTGTGCCTAGTACTGTTAGAGTTGAGAGGCTGTGAAAAGAAGACATGACTTCTGGGAACAGCCAAAGGGGTTTTGTTCCCCAAGAATCTGTGCTTTCAACAAGAATGAGAGAGGCTGTCACCAAGGAGTAACAAAACCTCCAAGACATTTTATTCTGATGGAAAATGCGACAAATTTATCAGAAATGGGATCAAAGATATTTGGTCTCCCAGCCCCCAATCCTGATCTTTAGGATTCCCAATTCCCAAAGTCCACACTTACATTTAAAATATAGCTCAACTTTTAAGTCTACACCACTCCTCAGGGAGGGATGAGCAGAGGAGCAAATGTTTCCAGTTGTTGCTTCAGGGACAGAAGGGAATGAACACTGGAGCGTCAGAAGGCTATGTCAAGAGTAATTCTCATGACTACTTAAAATAAAAGATAGTGAAAACCGAGAAGGAAGCCCATTCCTGCCCGTGGCTCTTGAGAGCTCTGGAACCTCTCCCTCATGCGGTCACTCCAGGGGTGCTCGTCTCTGGGAGGCTGGCCAGAGACGCCCTTTCTCATGATGTCTTTACTGCACATTTATTAAGCTTCTTAAGGGATGTAGCTGCTGGGCTGTGTCATGGAGCTCTCTACAGAGACACATGCAAGTTCCTGACCCTCTCTGTCAAACCCCCACCCTTGCAAATTACTCTTTGCCCTTAGTTTAAGTCCAAATTATTTTTAACTTAGTGTGGATATTCTTTATTCTTGTGACCTATGATCACTGAGAAATATACAAGGTGTAGCTATAAAATGGAAAAATGAATTTTTTAATGGGTGTATCATCATATATGTGCATGTATGTATACAAACAACGTGTTCCTTCAGCGAGCCAACCAAGGAGGCTGGAAACTTCTAAAGATGCTACCCCAAACTGATATGAAATACAATATACCGTTTATTTCATTCGTTTATTTCATTAGACTTTTGCTTTGTTCAGAGCCAACGTTGTACCATGTAAACTTAGTCCTCTCACCTTACTTACTAGCTCGGAATCCAGATGATGTTTGGCTTTTCATTCAAAAGGATTTTCACCACAGAGAGGGTGGGCAACAGTGCAGCTCTACAGCAGAGATAGGATAATACTCATGGCACTGGCCCAGCCCTGGCAAAGAGTGCACTTTGCAGGGTGACCACTGTGAAGGTGTGGTCACTGCCGTCACTGTGTCCTCGCACTCCGTCGGCCCATGCTGATCATGGCATTCCTATGGCATGCTGTGAAGCACTGGAAATGTACATCTCATTGCTCTTTCCATCCACCCACCCCCATATCCACACCGAGATCAAAGACTGTGCCTTAGCATTCCCCAGCCCAGCACAGTGACAGATGGGAGGCGGTCAGTCTGCTGAGCTGAACTGCTGTGCCTGCAGCAACATGAATCTATATGGTCACGTAGGTATCCCCAACTTGTGCTACAACTGTTTCAAGGTGCATGTTTTCTTTACTGAAACACTGGGATAACTGGGAGGGAGTCTTTGGCAGATTCCTGTTCTGTTGAGCCTTCCCTTTCTTACGGTAGTGTGGACTTGGTGGGACAGGGCAGACAGAGTAGTCACTGCACTTATTCTATCTCCACAGAAGAAGCATTTCAAATTACGTACAAAAGGATATTCTGTTCCTACATTGATACATCCCTTGTTCACAGCAAAACAGAAATAATGTAACAGCATCATAGAGGCAGATTAGAAATATGACTGCATTTTCTCACTTACAATCCTGTGCCTGTACTTGCCAGTAGGGCAGTTGAAGACCTAAAGCTGTATTGTATACAAACAGATTCGACCTTAACAATCGCCACATACAACATTATAAAAAAGTGTATTAGAAAGTATTGGAAACAACATTGCATATTAATATCTGGTTACATGTGTTCACAGTGAGTGCAACCACACCAAAAGCAGATGTGCTGCTTTTTTCTGATGCCTGTACATCTTAAAAAGTCTAATTTTGGTTCATTTTAAAGTAAAAAACATTGAAATGAATAAGAGAGGTCTGGATTTTAAAGAGAGTCGACCGTTATTGCTGGGGCTAAAGTGAGGAACAGGGAAATACACTGGCATCATGATTTGAGTCCAGTTCATCTTGCTTTTGTTTTGTCAAGAAGAGGATGCTACAAGAGTCACAATACAGTTAAAACAAAACAAGAAAAAAGCACAAAAATAGAAAAAAAAATACATAAAACAAACCCGTGTGTCCATAACAGGTAGCTCCCGTTCTCAATGAAAATTCTAAGATTTTTATTATGTCGTTGATTCTAAATTTAAAATGGAGCATGCCAAAATCTAAAGTGATTGGTGCTGGGACATGCCCTTTGGTAACAACACAATGATAACATAATGATTTTTAGTGACTCTTCATCTAGGACAATCACACGCTCTAATTTACAAACTACAGAAGGAAGCAGGGAGCAGAGATCCAGGTTTTCACAGGGTTGTGACAGGCAGCAGGACAAAACAAGGAACGGCAATTTCTAGCTGTAATCAATAGGTCAACCTGCTACCAGGAACTCTCCTGTCTCTGATATGTATTTTAAACACAATGAGAGTGCATGGAATCTACGCACACTCAGTACACAGCGGTACCCAAGACACACACTCACGCCATCAAACAACAGAACAAACCACAGAACAAAAACTGTGAGGTCATGCAAAATCCTACTTTTACCAGCTAGAAGAAAAACTTCAGCAACATTTGGTACATAATATGGCCACCATCCAAACATAATTTAATTACTTGTTGACATTATATGAAACCTTACTTTAAATACAATAGTTTCAAAGAAAAATGGTGTTACAGTATAAAACCACAACAAAAGGTGTGCAAACAGACATTTATATTGGCTATGAAAGGCAGTGGGAGAAAGAGGCAAGACATTTTTAAAAAGAACTCCAGCAGACACTATTTACAGTTCTGGTTTAAGCTTTGTTTGAATTCTACTGGAAACAAATAACTCTCTTCAACCAACTGACTCTGTGGGATGGATGAAAAAGAACAGGCTCAGTAAAATTTGCCAGCAAACCAGAAACTTAAGAAGGCTCTCACTTTGAATATATTAATTTGGATAAGGTGTATCTTTCTCTGGAATTGCATACTGAATGGAAGCTGTTGACAGCCCTGGCTTCTCCCTCTCCCTCACTCAGTGCATTGGTGTGGCAGAGTCTATCTACATTATTACAATTACAATTTTGTTTATTTCCAGTTTCGAAATGCCCCACCATTCTGTAAACCAAGAAATCCATGACTAAAGAATAATATCTTTACAAAGTCCATCCTTTCAACCCAACTCAAATGCACATGAGGAAATATATTTTTGAAGACTGAGGGGAATAATTCATTTACAGAATTTATAATGATTCCAAAGGAACACAGGTCAGCCTTGCTACTGCTGACTGGGAGAATTCTTCAAGTGCTTTTATCTTTGGAAGGTTTCCCAGACCTCTGACTGGTTTAGAATCCATTTCGATTAGTAGTTCTCAAGTAGAAGTGAGTTTGCCCCCCAGGGCACATTTGGCAACATCTGGAGACAATTTTGGATGTCAACTTGGGGATGCTACCGGCATCTATTAGGTAGTGACCAGGGATGCTACTAAGCATCCCACAATGCACAGGAGAGTCCCCCACAACAAATAATAATCAAGTCCAAAATGTCAATAGTGCTAAGACTGACACCTCTGGTTTAGATTAAAAACTGAGATGTTTATGTACAATTTCCCCTCTGTGTCTTTGTGTTCACCTTGGGACAGTTCTAGTGAAGACAAGCACTGTAAACATTTGAAATTGTATGTTCTCTTTGTCTAGGTGGTTGACAGTAATGACCTGAATGATAGAATTACTATTGAGGGAGATCCTTCCTGGTTGGGATTAGAATCCCCAATCACTTTACTTGGGCTTCAAGGGGGCACCCATGTCTTAACACAGAGGGCAGGGTTCTCACCGCCAGCGTCATCTGCCTCTTTCCTGGGAGACTTGGGGGGTAATACTTCCCGGGGGCCTGGACTGGTCCTGTGACTGCCCTGTACATTCCAGTACCCTACACTGAGCAATAAAGGGCACAGAGCTGTGGATCCTATTTACGTATGGACACACACGCTGCTTCTTTATGTTGAAGAGTTTCAGAACGTTTGGAAACTTAGTTTCAAACAGGTGAGTTCTGTGTGTTAACAACAGAGATGCTGGGCTCCTTATCTTTCATTGATCTGAAAATGAATGGTCATTCTAAATTATTCTTTTAGGGGTTTTTAAATAAGAATAATAGACATTGAGCATAGGAAAGAAATTTACCAACACTAAGAAATCCAGGCCTGCGGCTAAAAACAAAATAGATAATTAAGATGAGGGCTAGAATTGAACTTCTGTAGGAAAACAGGTTTCTGGTCTTAGGTAGAATCAGCAGGAGAAGAACTAGATAACCAAAGAAATGAATGTGGAATGTGTAATAAAGCTTTGGTTTCTGATGAATTTTACTGTTTTAGAAGTTCACAAAGAATTAAGATCCAAATTTTGGGACTGGTGTTTAAAACGTAGTGATAGACTTTTGGGGCCATTCAAGGCATGCAGATGAAAACGCAGAGAACCAGGCTCTCCAGATGTACCCGCAGGAAGACTGAACTCATCCCACCTGGCCACAGGCTCAGAAGGCTCAGTGTCCCCTAGCCAGCACTGGGGGAGCTTGGAAGCCGGGGAGGGGACTAAGAGGCTCTCCATTCCTTCCCACCTCCCTCTGCCCAGGGAAGCCCAACAGATACCCTTTCCCAATTTCTTTTCCTGTGCAGAATATGACTTAATATTTCTTTCAAGCTGTGCAGCCTTTCCACCTTAGATGCCAGCTGTGTCATGTCGAGGGGACCTCCCAGGTGGCCACATGCCATCCCATCCTGTCTCACCTGCAAATCGTATCCAATAGTCATACCTCACGGGCCATGCTCACTGCTTTTGGGAACTTGGAAAAGACACCTGGTGCGCAAACCCTGTGCTTAGCACAGGAACCTGCTTGCTCCTTCCCAGGCTTTGTACTGTTTTAGATCATTCTCTGAAAATTCAGGCTAATTGTTTGGAGAAGGTGATTCTAAGAAGCAATGCGGGGGGATGGGGGGATTTCAGCTAGCAGTCTATGAAAACCTCTAGGAAGACAGCAGTCTGGATGCCTCCAAGGCAACCCTGCCTCTAACAATAAGAACCTCCTTGTTTTCAAAAGCAAATCAAACCCCAACCGACAAACTTAAAAAACAGAAAAACACCTACACATGGAAACACCACATCGTCTGGTCCAGTGCAGTCCATGCTCTTGGGACTGGAGGGAGGGCAGGGGTGGCGGTCCTTGTGCTTGTCATGGTGGGCAGGCCCCGGGGGCTTTAGCTCATGTGGTAGCGGTGCTCCCCCCGCGTGATGTGGGATGAGAACTCGTACCTGTCCTGGCTGTGGTAGCCGCACATGTTGCACTCGAAGGGGTCGCGGAAGCCGTGGCAGCCCATGTGGATAGTGTACATGACGTGGTCCAGGAAGAGCACGCGGCAGTGTTCGCACTTGTACACCCGCACCTGCTCCCCACTTGTGCTGACCACCCGGAAGGCGTCCTGTGAGTTCTCCGAGGCCGGCCTCAGCAGGTCGTAGGCCCGCTGCTCCTCCTTCAGCGACAGGCCATTGCGGGCATGTGGCGTGATGTGGTTGGTCAGGTAGATGAGGCCACCGCGCTGCTCCTCGTTGTTGCTCTCGGTGTCCGTCGAGTCTTGGCAGCTGTTGCTCGGTGAGGCCTCCCGCTCTGAGGACACTGACTTGGCCTTGGAGAGCAGCAGCAGGTTCTCCACGGCGCTGTCCTGAGCCGAGTGGTTGGAGCGCAGGGGGCCCTCCGTGGGGGGCTTGTGCAGCTGGTACATGGGGCTGATGACTGGGACCACCTCGGAGCCACTGGGGGGCGTCTGCACCAGGGGGCGCAGGGACTCGGCGCCCAGGTAGCTGATGGCGTTGTTGATGGCTTGGTCCATCACGTGGGACTTCATCATCTCGTTCTCCTTCTCGTAGCTGGCGCTGCTGTCGTAGGGCATGTCTGACAGGCACTTGTCTCCTGTGGGAAGCAGGGACAGGGAGTGAGGTCCAGCCACCTCTGGGCCTGGCAGCAATAGCTGAAATCCACCCAGGGAAGCGAGGGACGGAGGGCCACCGGCCTCAGGGGTGTCCCCGTACACCAGCACAAGGGGAAGGTGGTACATCTCTGTTCAGGGGGCACCAAGCATGGGGACCTACCCATAGTAGGCACTTAAAGATATCTGGTTGGATAAATGAATAAATAAACAGGGGAGTCAAAGATTGTCCATATCAACTTTAAAAGCATGCATTTAAACAGACTAAACCAATACTGGTGTCTTTTATTAAAGAAGGTATAACTAAATGTTATTTTATCTAATCTAAAGCTAATATTTTACATGATGTCTGTCAGTATCGTGTTCTAAGTAATTTACAATAGTACAGGAGTGTAACAGGATTCTGATCTAGGAAGAGTCAGCTGGCGAGGGGGACTGTGTCCCCACAATTGGGGCAGCAAGAAGGCAGGTCCTCAGGTGACAAGGGGCCTGGTGCTTTGGCAGTGCTCAGGCAGGTCTGGGGGCCAAAGCCTCATGGGGGAGGGACAGTGCACAGTTGTGGGCAGGAGGGGCAGGTGGGGGCTAGACCAAGCAGAGACTTCTTCTAAGGAAAGATGGAAGCCACAGAAGGGTTTGAAGGAAGAAGCAACCTTTTTAGTCACTGTGGGAAGAACAGACTGAAGAGAGGCAAAGTGAGAGGATGACTGAGCCTCTGCCAAGAGCCCGGGTTTTGGCTGCTACAGGCTCAGGAGGGTGGTGCGAGAGGAGGACCCTATACCCCCACGCTGACCCCTGACACCACGGTCTTCTGCTAGTCCTTACTAACAATGGATGAATTACTCTACAGTTTGTAGATTTACTAACAGTCCTTTCTATGAAGTCTGTGACCACTAATAACCATCTGGGGATATACCCCGTCATCTCACTTCTTCCTCCACAATGCATCTGTATCGTGTAAGGACCTGGTTTCCAGTGGTTTTCATCTACTGTGATCTGAAGCAGAAAATACCCTGGTAATAGTACCATGTGATCCTCAGACTGCTCAAAGAAAACCTGTCTGTGACCAGTTATAGCCTCCCAGAAAACGAACAGACGAGATCCCCAAAAAACTGATGGTGGTGACCAAAGAAATGGAGTTTCTCTCCGTGAAAGAGTAGGTGTAAGTATGCAGCATTGCTGGACCCATACACATTTTTTGTGTTTCTGTGTTGAGGTGCTAAATGTCTTATTACACTAACTCCAGAACGGAATGAACCGTTCTGGTTTGTACCCAAACTCCAATGAGGAGAGGAGGGGAGTGGACTTTGTAGCCAATTTTGCAAAATATAAAAATATCTACAGCCCCACTAAAAATAGTACTTTCCCACCTAATCAGCCTGTCTCTCCCCAGAGTCATGGTTCTGTGGTTCCCCAAGCAACCAAAATTTGTTGCTTTAAAAACTTGGTATCAACAACAAATAGGTGTAGAAAAACACAACATACATTCCTGATTACCATGTCACATTGGAACTACCCATAGAATTTCTCTTTCCTACTATCCCACAAAACAAGAAAAATAAAAGCCTAAATAATTTACCAACAGCAATCAACTCAAGAAAGAAACATACACTAATGAAGTACATATGAAAAAAAAGGCAAGGACCAGGGAAAGAAACAGAAGACTCCAGCATGAGACATAGGGCAAAGCTTGGCTGCTAATTTCACTTCCAGAAGAGCCATGAATCAAGAACATTCTCAGCATTTCTTGTAATATCCTTATAGCTACAGAGAAACAATTCAAATAGAGCAGTTGACACCTCTTCTAGTGAGATCTAGATGACACCAGAGAAGGGAGAAGTCTGGCTCTGCAGAAGTGAAGACCTCCATGCTCTGTGGAGGAGGTCTAAGGGGGAGATGGCCCAAAGCCCCCAAAGATCCCATGGGGGGTGTGAAGCACTCCCCAACTAGGGTCAATGCTGCTGTTTAGGCATTTAACCAAATCTCAGAATGAGGACCAGAGAGCAAAGGGAAAGTCTTTTAACAAAGGCTGTGCTTTGCCTCACCCGAAGCCCCCCAACTCCATCCTTTGCATTCTTTCAGGATTCAGAAAAGTTGATAGCTCTCCCAGGGAAACAAAAATGTCTCAGATACAGTGGGAAGAATGTCGAAACATTAATCAAGCTATATCAGACCAAATACAATAAGCAAGATGAAACGAAGTGTGATAGCCTCTGTGAAAATACTGTCTTGCAGTACAAGGGAAGAAAAGAAGCTAAACACAGACCAATAAGCCCATCCTAAGAAAAAAACACACTAATTCAAGGAAGAGAAGAAATACCTCATAACTGCTTTATGACATGGAGTCAATTAAAAAAAAAAATAAAGATGATACATAAAAACAACAGTGAGAGAAAGAAACATTTTAGGTCTCAGGAAACAAGATGAGATCCAAAACAATATTACTCCAGAATTGATACATGGATTAGAAACAAAAATAATAGACTAGAAACTGCTAAAAATTAAATTACTGACATAGAGGAAAAATACAAGATAGTAACAGTGAATGAATGTAAAAAAGACCAAGAAATAAAAGTAAAGAAATGCTCATAGATACAGAAGACAGATTATCCAACATATGGACAACTGGTATCCCTGAACAGAAATCCCAATCAATGGAACAAAAGACGTATTTATATAAAGAGAATTTCCCAGAAATAAAGAGAAAAAAGGGAATCTCTAGATGAAAACGGCAGCAAATTGTTATTCAGAATGCAAAACTCCAAGATACATCCCAGTTAGAATATTTAAAGAAAGAACCCTTCAGGCATTCAGACAGGAAATAGAAATCACCTTAAGGAAAATAAAATCAGACTGGCCTTAGATATGTCCACAGCAACATTCAATAAGCAATGCCATCGGGCAACATGGCATGATGTAGAAAGTTCTCAGGGGAAAAAAAAGAGTAACCCAAGACCACACACTCTGTTAAGATGTTCTCAAGAATAAAGGCAACAAGCTGACATCCTCAAATACAAAACCATCGTGAAAATAGATCGAAACTATTCGAAAAAAAGTTACTTACATGTAAAGTCCAATCAATCAATTCCAATGAATTAATCAAAATAAACACAAATAGTAGCAAAAGAACTGGGTCTAGTCCTTGAATCTATGTGAATATAAAGTCAATAACATGCTAAACTACTATGAGAATTATGATTACTTAACAGAATGTAAACATTATGAAGCGGGACAATGTAAAAATAATAGAATTGTGAACCCTGGGAACTGAAACAAGGCCTTGATTTTCAAAGCAACGAGTCCATAGATAATGCCTAAATTGAAACAAATTTAAAAGTGATACAAAGCTCTTAATGCTTTTCAAAATAAATATTTTTAATCTTAGACAAATTCTTTAAAAAGCAATATCCCTTTCTGTGAGAGAACATGTATCTGAAGATCGACCAGTCCTCCAGTTTTGTCTGGGTTCTTTTTTACCTGTTAAATTTAATACATGTATGATATGATCAAGTATCTATGGACATATTTATTTCACATCTATCTACCCATCAATCCAGCTATTTGTCAACCTATCCACTGACATGCATATGCATAGGAAGATAATTAGAATGATGCTCACCTGTATACTAACCATGTGTCAATTTAATAACACAAGAAGCATCTCCTTTTTGTTTGTTTGTTTCGTTCTGGTTTTTCAGTGGCTGGCTGGTGTGGGCATCTGAACCCTTGACCTTGGTGTTATAACACCATGCTCTAACCAACTGAGCTAACTGGCTAGCCCTTACACCAAGGTTTTTTACACCAACCATGTGTCAATTTAATAATAAACATGGTTTCTTTTTAAAAGAAAAAAGGTTTTTGTATGTTAAATATGTTTTCCCACAATCACCAGACTAAAAACAATGATTAGCATTACTATTTACTATTAGCCTCTTTCTGACTGAATTCGTTGATCCTGTCGACTTTTATCTGATTATCACAGAGGGTGAGATCTTCGACGGCCTTATTGGTGAGGAACGTTGCTGGCCAAACAAATACTTATTCATACTCATGCCAAAGTTTAATTTAAAATTTTTAATCACAGCTCATATATCAATGGCAAAAAAATATATTCCACTCTGAGCAGTGTTTGACATGAAAGTAATATCATCTTACATTTTTAAGGTGCTTTCTAGTGTCGAGAGTATTGTCACATCCAGCATCCCTTTTGATCTCAGATTAGCTCTGGGAGGGAGGTGGGGTAGTAGAGCATGTCCATTTCACAGACAGTGACACTGAGTCCACTGCCTTGCTCAAGGTCGCCACTGATCACAGCTGGAGCTGGACGTTGGACCCAGGAGCCCTTCCAACCCCACCACTTACAGGGCCAGCTTGCATGAGAACAGCTTCATTCCTACACAGTCTATCTGTGCTTATGATAAAGGTAAACTGAACAGCCTACTGGTGAAGAGGGGCCTTAGAGATCCAGCCCCTTTTTATTTCAGAGGTGGAGAAACTGCGGCGTGTTTAGGGCAGGAAGAGGCACTATTTTAGAAGGGAGCTGCCAATCACCACCTCTCGAGAAACACCAGCAGATACACAGGGACAGGGGGGCCTGTCCTTCCAAACTCCACCGCTGCTGCCTTTGCCTGCTTCCTCCATTCCGCCTTTTCCTCCTGTGTTTAGCCTCTCCCCCGGGGCTTCTTTTTCATCTCAGCTCTGCTCCAGCAGAGGCACCCTGTTGTTTTTCATTCATTTAACAAGGAAGGAAGCATCTGAAGACAACGCCCACGTTGTGGTCTCACCCGGGTGGCTACAGTAGAGTGACACAGACGTTCTCATTTAGTTGGAAGTCTCCAAAAGTTATAAGGGTCTGCAAATGTTCATTTACCGAAGCGCTTGGCAAGTCTCCTAGCCTGGGTCCTGCTTCCCAAGGTCAGTAACTCTTCTCAACCCTTGGACACACTTGCTGCTTCCTCTCTGCCCATCTCCACATCAGCCGGCCTCTGCCATGCCCACTCCTGGGGGTCTCCTAGCAGAGCTGCCGGTTCAGGGTGGGAGCTGTGAGCCCCATGCCCAATGCTACTTGAAATTCCACCCACCCCAACAGCTTCCTTCAGCCCAGGACCTTACTCCTTACTCCTTACTCTGCTCAGGAAATGGAAGTTCTTCCTTGCTGTCATGGTCAAAAAGCTCACATTCGTCTGGGCCACTCCCCACAGGGCATCTCCAGACAGTGGTTTTCTTTCTTTATATTTTAACTGAATCCTTCCTTCTTCTGCTCCTCCCAACCTCCAATCAATGACAAACCTCTACTTCATGAAGAGATTCAAAATGGAGCCTTCTTCTAAGTCATGAGGGAGGCTGGAGCCCCAGAACTGGGCCTGCCCTCTGCCCTCCCTCTTCCTGCTGTCCTGCAGGACCACAGGTGCCCTCTGGGGCCCCCAGCTGCATTAGCCACTCTTCCAGTCCCACCCTCTCTCCCAGCACACATTTCTCACATGCCATTGACACCAGGAAGTCGTTGACAATCAGCACCTTGAAAACAGAACTCCATCTTTTTCCAGAACCTGGTGCTACGCTTTCTGTAAATGCCACACTGGAGTCAGGGTGACTTGCGGCTTCCTGTACCAGCCCTTGTCACAACTCTATGCCATGTGTCTTCCTCCAAACCTTTCTCCTCCATCCCCTCTCTTTCCAGCCTGCTGCCATTTTCCAATCAATTTTTGATACCTGCTGTCTCTACTTTCCAAGCCGTTGCTCCCATCAAAAATCTGCCAATGTTTTTTCTGCCTAAGGAGTGAAAGACATATCTCTCACCTTGGCATTCGAAGGCCATCCATCCTACGGCCACACCTCACAACTTCACTTCTCCTGCTTCCCTGTGGGGACCTGAGCTGAGCTGGGCATGCACCCTGCTCCCCCCCCACACCCCATGTGCCCCCCATGCCAGCCCCCACCCTCAGCCCCCACTTCTCCCCCTCCTATAACACCCTGAAATCCTATTCTTCTTTCAAGGTACAGCCCAGCTTCATGAACTTCCTGGACATGACCCTTCTCTTCCCAACCATGATTATAATTGACCTTCACACTAAGGGTTTCTAAATGTTCTCACGTCCTTCGGGTCATTTTCTGTTCACAAAACCCTGGGTGATACACTGAGAAAGGAACCAGGGCTTGGGGGGTTGAATTGCTTCCTCAAGCTGGCAGAGTTAACGAGTGGCTCTGCTCTGACCTCAGGTGGGTCCCTGAGCCCGGTGCCTTTCCACTGGACACCTGCTTCAACGTCCAAGGTGCAGCATCTGGCTTGGAGGGTGGGTATCGGTCTATCTATCATCTATGCTGGACAATAGTCCTGGAGGAAAGGGTGGCATCACTTTTGGTTTTTACCCCTCACGGCACCTGGTGCAGGTCAGAATAGCAATCCGAGTGTGTCCCCTCTTCACTGGGCACTTCTCATGGGCGGACTCTGGGCCATTGCTCCCATTAACCCTTCACAGTCCCCAGGAGGGGAGCGTTATGGTTATGAGCTTCTTGTGGAAAATGAGGATCTGAATCTCAGAGAGGCTGGTCAGGCACTGGGGCAGGGGATGAGGGGGTGGTGTCCTGTTGTGCAACGGGCCCCCTAAAGGCCAGGCCCAAGCTCTAGACCCTGGGCACACTGACCCGGCCACCCCTTGAGGGACGTGTCCACAGGTAGATCTCACCAAGGTCCTGAGATGCTACAAAATCACATAGAGGAAAATACTGGCAAGGGAAGGTTTGTTCTTAAGAGACTTATATTCAAGAAATTTAAGATATTTAAGAAATGTTAAGATTACCAGTTTTTGCTTTTTTAAAAATAAGATTTTTTCCTTTCTTCTACTGTTAACTAATTACTGCTTGAGTCTAAAACACCCACAGAGTTGTTTTTTAAGAGACAGCAAACGTTTAACTCTTACCAAGAAATTTCTGAGGCATAGAGCTCTTACGTTTGGCCACGTTACTTGCTAGTCTGTCCAGCACGAGGGATCTCTCTGGTCCTATCTTGCACAGGTCTTCTGCCATTTCACTGTGATTAGTTTCTTCTTTAATGACTAAAGTCAAAGACAGAGAGGCCAGTTTAGAAATGCTCACATCAAAAGGATTCAATCACGTCCAGTGTTAAATCTGACATTTGTTAAGTGCCTACAAGAGCCGGGCCCTTCACAGACATTACTTCTAATCTTCCCAGCAATAATGAGGGACAGAGGCTGGCCATAGCAACGTCAACGACTGGCCACCTACTAATGCTCCTTCCAACGACATCTGCTAATAGCATATCGTCCCCTAGGACCAAAAGAACAAGTACTGCACCATCACCAAAAGCTAGACTGGGTTTAAGTAACTGTGTCCCTTTGAAGGATCCTTTTGACTTTTCAACATACTCCCTAAACCACCACATCAGTCAACAGCCCTCTGAGAATCAAAGAACTGTCACATCTAGAAATGACCCCTACTCCGTCAACTGGTAGTGAACTGAGATGCAGACACATGGCCGCTCGAGATCCCACAGCAAGTCCTAGCAATTTGGGGAAAGAGCCCAGAGCTCTGTGCCCCTGCACCACAGCAAACTCCTGATAACCAATAACACCTGCATATTGTAGAAAATTTAGAAATTATGGTGGTAAATGCTGATATATGAGCTATTTCTAGTCACTCTCTATTTTTCCATATCATCTTTCTTTCTATAATTAAAGATACAACTTTGTATCCTGCATAGTCTTATCTATTTACTTCCAGTTTTTACAGTTGGATTTTTTGAAATATAACTCTTTCATTTCCCTGCAATTTATCCTATTGTATAGGGAGCTAGTACTGTACATTGGTTATTTTCCAAATGCACGTGGACAGCGTCCAGTCCACTCTCCCTCTTCAATCTCCCAAGCTTTCTTTCTCTCCTCGGGATGGTTGGTAGCTTTCTTCACCATGTCCTGAAGACTACCTGCTAAGATGAGCTCTAAGTATTTTCTGTCTTCATTGCTATCGTGAATGCCACTTTGAAAACTATATTTCAAACTGGTTTTTATTGCTGGCATATTTAATTTTTTAGCATTGAAAATGTGGGTTTCTTATTAAAAGGGCAAACATATACAGCCTATACCCTGATTTTACATGAAGGATGTTCATAAATCCATAACACCCAGTTCTACTGATAGCACACTTGACCTATCAAACTAATGAGCATCTTTACATGTCCACATGTCTCTGTAAACCAGGTCCCTGTGGCCTCCCTCAGCTGCCCACTGTCTTGAGTGGGGCTTCCTCCTCTCTATGCCCAGGGCCTCCTGAGAGCCTCTAGCCCCAGAGTCCACCACAGTAAGGGACAAATGAGCCTAAAGTCCCCAATCACTGGCTACTCTGTCCTTAGATGCATTTACACCAAGGACTTGTGATACAGTTTGTGTACCTAAGGCCCAAGGGAAACATATTTTCTGTAGACAGCAGGAAATTATAACCAAAAGCCTTTTACTAAAAAACATTTTATTCCAAAAAATTAAACTTTCCTACATCTTAAGCCAGGCTTTGTGTTTAAATGCACCCAACCTGAGGGGAACTGGAGAGGGAAGAGACTGCCTGACAGAGGGACAGGAGGAGAGATGCATGAGAAGGCACAGGCTCCACCAGCAAAGCTGAGGTGACCAAGACCACCAAGCTCCTGCCTGCCTGCCCAGCCTCAAATGCAGCCTAGGAGGACTTCATTAAAGTCTTTTTATGGATCCCCTCGATGCTCCAGGTTCCTTAAACCAGCATTTACTGCATACAGACAAGGGCAAAGTGTTGGCAAGGGTAAAATAAAAGGTATCTTTGTCTAAAGGTATTTATGATCATTTTGCACATCCTGATGCAACATGAGGCAGGAAGAATTTGGCATAATGAGATGCGAGCCCCCTGGCTCTGTCTGCTGCCACACCAGAATCAGAGGACTGCTCCTTCCCAGGGAAGCCTTCTTACCTCCTGAGCATAGGAACTTAAAACATCACTGAGGTATCCAAATAACTAGACCACCGAAGGGAATGAATGAACATTTTAGGGTGAAATTGACTCTCGCCAGAGGGTAATATTTAATGTATATTACTAACACATAAGTTTATTGACATAGAGAATTAAGCTGAAAGTGTCCACACATCAGCGACCCACACTTCTCTGGATGAGCACCTGATGCATGCCTGGGTCCCCTGCTGTGCATGGGGTCCTTCTCTCGTGTGTCTCCCCGAGCGCTGCTGTAAGGGGCCGGGCAGGAATTTACTCCTCACGTGTCAGAGGTGAGCCCGCGTTACATTCAGAAATAGACTCAGATGAAACTCAGACCCAGGTCTCAGTGGAAGGGGTGCCCCAGTCTGCTGTGATGTTGCAGCTTGTTTCTTTAGGGACAGAAAACAATATACTCTTTCTTTTGTTCCTTTCAGCTTCTCAATTCCATGTATATGTCAGATTATTGCATTCAGTAAGGCTTGGTATTACAGATAACAAGTCCTCAGTAAATATTTGTTGAGTAAATAAAATGGCTTATTTAAGCATCAATATGTAAATTATATCATTAGAAGCACTTATTTCCAAGACCCATTAATTTGCTTTTTACAGAAAAATATAGTATCTGAGTGTTCACATTTTTTATTAAAGGAACAAAATCATTCTCCCCTCCCTCAGTCTTGCAACCCCTGGGGTATGGCCACAAATCGATAACTGTTAAATTACTAATATTATTATCCTTGTTTTAGTATCTGGTTTCTCCTCTTCCAAACCTTCAGTATCTTTCCATTCCAGTCCTTAGACTCTGAAGAAAGCTAAATGATAATTTAATGGAATCTCCCCATTTCACAGGTGAGAAGATTAAGGCCCACAGAAATTGACTGTCAGCCCCAGGTCCTCAGCTGATCAGTAGAGAGAGAACACTACAAACCTAAGTCTCTAGTCACGTGAGATGATGCCTCTCGATGCCAACACTAGTCTGAATAAATAGATTTTTAGGATTCGTTCTGATCAGTCTTTTCTCTGGCTCTCATCTGCTATTAATATCTGAGTGTACTCCAGTGAATTTTCCTTTATGAATCTCTTGTTAAAGTCAGAAAGTTCAGGAGGCTTAATAAATTCTCGGCCATTAATTTAATTTCTATCTCCCTGTCCAATGATGATTTTTCCATTGGTAGTGCTAATGAATAGTGTTTTGAAAGAGGTTAGCTTTATTTGATCAATGTATAAATTTCTTATCTCTTAAAAAGTTGGGAAGGTGCCTATTATAGCCCTGCCATCCCTCTGAGTAAACTCAGCCTTCTTCAGTACTGTGTTTACATCTCTCACTTTACATCATCTAACATTAGAGTCAAATGCTACCTCCTTAAGAAACGTAAAACAAAGCATCATAGCTCATAAAAACAAAGCTACCTTCCTTTAATCCTCTGAGTGCCTCAATGCTACTGACTGTCAGGGTCTTCCAATGACCTTCAGCCTCACATTCCAGGCAGGTGTGGACACTGTGCCCTCAGCCTGAGCCCGTGTTTGAAATCACAGCCTGAAAGTTCTTATTTGATCAACTTCATGAAAAGATTGTTTTAAAACAAGATTTAACATCCTATATTGATGACTAAGTGCAAAGAAACAATCACTACTGCAGATAAAAAAAAAATCACCAACACCCAAAATAACAAACCTCAAACTTTTAAGGGTCACTGCCATCTTGGGCATTCTCCAGATTGGAAGAGGGAGGGGTTTTACAGGGGAGCTCTCTCTGGTCAGATGCAGCCTCAAACATTGGGAAGTTCAATGCGCTTCTAGAGCGACCATGATGTCATTGGCCAAAAACTTCCCTCCCTTCCAGCTGGCGGGAAGCAGGCTGGGCCCTGGGGCCACATGCAGAGTGCCCTGCTCACCACGTGCTGCGGAGGGAGGGCCGGTGCAGGCCTCCAAGTGCCAGCGCTTACCTGGGTACAGCGTGCCCGGAAGGCCCATGCTTTCCAAGTAGTTGTGGCAACGCTCTTTATGTTCCTCTAAAGAGCTTCGCTGTTTATAGCTTCGGCCACAATATCCACATTTGTGAGGTTTACCAACTGCAGAAAACACAATTGAGTTCAAGACCCCAATTAAATGTCGACCTTATGTGTAATGGGAATGCATGCAATACAATTGTTACCAAAAAAGTAAAAAAAAAAAAAAAAAAAAAAAAAAAAAAAAAATGTTCCTCTAAAGAGCTTCGCTGTTTATAGCTTCGGCCACAATATCCACATTTGTGAGGTTTACCAACTGCAGAAAACACAATTGAGTTCAAGACCCCAATTAAATGTCGACCTTATGTGTAATGGGAATGCATGCAATACAATTGTTACCAAAAAAGTAAAAAAAAAAAAAAAAAAAAAAATTAAAAAAAATTCTACTCTTGAGAGCTAAAAGCATTTACAGACTCAGTTCAAATTCCTTGATTGTACCAAGAACTTATGTGACACTTGTTTCATCTTAATTTGTCTACTGTCCTGACTACCAAATTCTCTCCTCCTTAAATCGCTGAAGTCTGTCCTTTAATTGGAGGAAATGAACCACTGCAGTGTTATAATGTGGACACCTAACAACTGGACAGCGGTAGGAGGAAGGCCCTTGGGTAGGCTGGATAACTATAGATTTGCCTCCAGAGCAGGCCTCTTGTCCAAGTCTATCTTGTGGGCCAGCTCTGGCATGACACTGGTGCTACATCTAATGCAACCAGAGCGAACGCAGTTACAGGGTACTAAACTGGATAACCAGAGGTCTCTAAGGAAGTGTGGTGGATAAATATGCTTTAATGAAATGAACATTTTATTTCTAAAATGCATTTTCTAATACAATACAAAGGAAAGTACGTATTTTGTACACAAAATATTTTGTGTAAGAATGTACAATATGTGCCCACATAAACTGAGCTTATGGAAAAGCTGTTTTTCTCCCCAAAGAAATTTAGGATGGTGTAGCTTCTAGATCAGCTCTGTCCAACAGAACTTACTATGATGATGGAAATGTACTCTACATATGCCATCCAATATGGTAGCCACGTGTAGCTATTGAACATTCAAAGTATATGGCTGGTGCCACTGAGGACTGAAGTTTAAATTTTGTTTAGTTTTAACTGATTAAAATTAAAATTTAAATACCATACATGTCTAGTGGCTACTGTAATGGGCAGCACAGTTCTATATAATGTGTTCAGCTATTCCTAGACTTTACTGAATGGTATTTTAGGAAAAGAAGACTAGCCAGGAATCCATATCATGCCTAAATTTAAAGGCTTCAATAGATACTATTTTAAGAGATGAAATGGATAAAGTATCTTCAATCACTTACATGAGGAATGTAAATTTCCACTCTAAGACCAGAATCATCTTCTTTCTCATGTTGTTTAATTTAACATATTTCAAAGTATTATACTAAAATCAAAACCATCCAAAAAGGACTGTTTGGTAAAATGGCTTAACCAATGCTTGTATTGGTTAAATCTCTTTCCTAGGTTTAAAAAGACTAACATGAGGGCCGGCCCGGTGGCGCACTGGATAGTGCGCCGCTTGGGAAGCGCGGCGGCGCTCCCGTCCGAGGGTTCGGATCCCACATACAGACCGGTTCCCACTCACTGG